AGACTCCATTATATAAACATTTTCTTCTAGCTGATCTTAGAGAAAGCTTAAAGGCTTAAGCAACTGTTTTTACTTGATTTTCTGTATGCAATCCGGAATATCTATAATTACCTAAACCATATGAGGGAAGCCCAATGAAACCAGCTACTTACTGCAAATGCTCGGGGTAAACAACTCCGGACAGTATAGAATTTATAAATCAATTGCACAAATAGCATTAGTTTTGAGCAATAAAAGGCTAAAAGCAGTGTCTTACCATATTTCATACAGAAATGGTACTCTTTTCTCCACAGCCAGAAAAAAGCTGAAACAGGTTTTGACAGAACAAAGTCATGTCCAGAAATCATGTAACACTAAAAGTTGGAGGTTAATAAAATTTGAGTAAAATAGCTGGAAATTATTTCACATGCCTTGAAAGTTTCAGCAGCGATCATACATAGGCAACACAATAATTTATAAATAACAACAGTATTTCATTTCCATTGGATGTATAGTTACTGTAAACTCTATCATTTGAAGCATAGTGATCATAACAAGGTATAGAATTGACAATAGAAAATAGAAATAGAACTGGGATTTCACCTGCACAAGCTTTTTACACATACTGAAATTCAAACTCTCCTTAATTTCATCATTATTATGCCTCCTACCAGAAGAATGTTTGGTTGAGACTGATGCATCAGCCAAAGAACTCCCCCCACGAATATCAATTTCAATCTTTAAGTACAGGTAATTATCTTGTGTGCTTGATCTCCATGCATTTATTTTCTCATTCTTATCCTGGCTACCAACATCTGATAAAACCCACAATAAAACAATTCCTCCTCCGTTATAGATGTCCAGAAGATAGCCAACCATATGCAAAATCACTTGAAAAGCCCTTTTCTCATCACCAATCACTTGATCAGGCAAAGAACTCCGAACACCAACTTCAAACCAAAGCCTTTGTAGACAGATCAACACTTGGCAAGGCAAGAAGCTTCTTTGATCATGGAATGTAAGCTAAAAGGTCTCATATCTAGCAGGAATCTTACATTATCTTTTGCTGAAATCTCCATCACATTATTTATCAAACTCGAAAGAACACTGCTTGTTTTGACCAATGTGTCAACAACAGTCTTCTGGTTCAAGTTCATATTTTCATCTTGAAACACTGAAAGTAAGCCCAAAATTGAGTGCATTGGTCTCCTCATACCATGACTCATCACTTTCTGAAGAGAGTTCCTTGATTGGCTGGCCATCATTGGATTCATTCTTGCCCGCAGCAACACATGATTTTGCTGACCCAGTTTTTTTCTCATTCGCTGAGATTCTTCAAGAATGCAGCATGAGACAGAGCTACAGCCACCTCATCAGCAACCACTTCAACAATCTCCAATTCTGGATAGCTCCAATTCCTTGAGTTCGAATTTGGAAGATCCAATACCAGAATGGCAGAGCAAGTCTCCAATGATTCTGGCGTTCCTCCTTTAAAATTATAACCTTGAAGCATTGGCATCCTGATTGCTGCAACAGAACCAGCCCCATCTAATCTGCCACCACTTGCAAGCCTGGTCTGGTCTGGTCTCAGGATTTTCACTCCTTCACTGTCCTTTATCTCCTCCACATCAGGATCATTCGTTGGGATAGATTGGTCAAAGCTCCTTGAAGAGCTTGCTTTCAACTCATGAGTCAAATTCATCTGTGTTCCATTCTCATTTGGCATCCACACTGCATAGTTGTTTAAATCCAAAGTCTTAGAAAGCTCAACCAAAGCGTTGTACAATATGGTATGTTTATCTAGGGATTTCCTGATTTCCTGTGTTAACATTTGAACATGTGAACCGGCTTCCTCCTTCTTCATCATCCCAACCTCTTGGTCTAATTCCAATACATTTTGCCTCAAGAAAAGCTCCCTCACTTTCACTTTGAGTAAGAGAGGTATCAGAGGTAAAAGTGTTATTGCAGTGGCACATGAGACAAGGGCTGTAAGGAATTTGGCAATGGTGAGGGACAGCATCAACTGGAATGAATGGGGACCATAATAAGTCCATCCGTTGAGAAGATGAGTCAATCCACAAAGTACTATAAAGGGAATAAACTGAAGGAGGACCCATTTGAAGGGGACATTTGAGAAACTAATGAAGTAAAGCAGTTCAACAGGTATGGAAAAATGTGCCACAGCAATCAAGAAATCACTCACCTTCTGGCACTCTAAAATGCTATGTATACTCCATAAACCCTCATCATCACAATTACAACTTGCAAACTCATTATCAATGGCATTAACCAAGATCAAGAAAAAAGAAATCAACAAACCAAGAGCTAATGCTCTTAACATTGCTACTCAGGTAAGTTCTGGGTCAATCCATACATATAAAAAGTCAAACTTACAAACCCCTAACACAAAATTTTGTATTCAACTAACTATACTCCTCTAGCTAAAAGCTTCAGTATTCATTTCCTCAAGCCACTTCCTTTGCAGAGAGAATAAAATCTCATCAGCAACAATTCAAGATCTACAAAAGTATCCAACTTCTTCTATTCAAGCAAGTAACATCCTTTTCCTAGATTTAAAGATCTAAAACACCTCTAAACTCAAAAAAAAAAAAAAAAATCAATCTTTCTATCCATTCCCTGCAATCAAATATTGGTTTTTCACACCCCTCCAAGACTTTATTATATACTAACGGATGAAAAGAACAAAGAAATTCTGAAAAAGAGATGACTTTTAATAAAACTTGGAACTTTCCTCGACTGAATATTAAGAACTTCACGGAAACCAGTATCAAGAATAAAAGGTCATCCTTTCTTTACCTATCTAACACTCTGAGAGAAAAAAGAAATCACAGAGCAAAGAACAAACCTTTGGCAGAAAAAGCACCACCAATCTCAATAAACAAAAGAAGTAATAATATCTTTTTTCAACTTTCCAAGTGAGAGTAACCACTACCCATTTTTTACAAATGTTGACCTTTATCTAAAGCAATCAACAAACACGCCACTTCTTTTTCAACAAGATCAACTAAAAAGCTAAATAAAAAAGATAACACAAAAAAAAAAAAAAAAAAAAAAGGTCTTCTTTAGAAAAACAGTTCACAAGATTTATAGCAAAAGAGCAGAAGAGAGATTGAAGATAGTTTGAGATTGAAACATCTCGCTCTGCCTCTTCAGAATGAAACAAACGCTTGACAAAAAACTGATTTTTAAACACAACCCAAAAAGTGTGGGACCCAAAGTTCTATGAAGAGAACCTACACTGTAGGCGGACAGTGTAGAATAGATTGTTAAGTGTGTTTTAAAATTGACTTAATAAAAAATTTAAAATTTATAAATTAATAAATTTAATGTTAATATCAATAATATAAAAAATTATTAAAAATATTATTTATAATTTAAATTCGATGAATAATTATTTAATTATAAAAAATTTTATCAATATTTTTTATTAAAAATATCTATTTAAAATACACTAAAATTTATAAAAAAAAATTTAAAAATTTCTACATACTTAATTTATATGATCATATCTTTAAATTTATTAATTTTAATTTTTATTTAATTATATTTATATTTCACAAATTTCATCGAAACAAATTCAATTAAATTTTTTCCAACAGTAAACATCACTCTCCCATTCTTTCCCACATCGCACGTAAAAGTAACACCCTTATTTTTTGTTTTTTCATTACTTTTGTATAGTATTAAGTATTAAACTATTAATTTAAAAAAATTATGTACTAATTATTTATTTTTTGTATATATTGCATTAAAATAATTAGCAATTTGTTTGCCTCAAATTGTTAGTTTTTATAACTTTCAAGACAAAAAAAATTGATTTTAACGTGTATAAAATTAAATTTTTTATTTTTTATAAATTTGATGTTTTATAATTTTTAATACTAAACAGTGAAAAAAATCATGATTATAATTTTACAATGTAAAAAAAATAAGAAATTTATATCCAAAAAAGGATTTTCAATCGACAAATTAGCTTACACACTGATTCTTAATGGAGAATTGAAGATAATTTTTTAATAACCATTCTCACGAAACAAGAACAGTGAGAATTTTCTCAAATATTTTATAGTAACAAGAAAAAGTTACGCTCATCATTCTGAACGTCTGATTTATTTTGGGTGATAAGCGACATGCATCAATAATCAATTATTGAATAAAATGCTCGGTGTTTTTTTATTGTGTATAGTCGAGGAGAAATCCTCCTGGTCTTCCTGGATAGGCTTCCAGTAATCTGCAGTTAACATTGGCTAAGCAAACCAGGAAACTAGAAAGAAAAGAGGGGTTTTCTACTCACCAAGATTTGTATATAAATACTTACAGACCCAAGCGATGAAAGGCAGAGTTCAATCCTATGTTCTATTGTATCAGTACTGTTTTATCTTTCAAAAGTATATAACTAATTGAATCTAAAATTTTGAATCCAAAATTTAACTCAATTGATTCATACAATTAATCTTAAAAAAAATATCTCTAAAATTCAAATTTCAATCCTTTAGACATTTTTTGTGCTCTCAGGGCTTTCTTTGTAAAACCCAAAAAAAAGTAAATAATTAAGTCAACTTCTAAGATTTGTTTGTTTACTAGGAAACAAGAACCTGTCAAAGCACAATTATTCTATTCACATGCACCAAATGCTCACTCCAAGGGAAAAACCAAAATTAGTAAATCAGACAAGAGCCCATTATCTAACCTACAATGAGTATGAAAGGAGAAACAGATGGAAATATAATTATTCCTTCAACATCAATTGATTTGTGCATGAAGATGCCAAATATACCACACTTCCAAGTTATTTTTCAAACCTAAAATATTTTTGTCTCCCAGACCTGGGAACCACAATTAAAACGCCTTGCATAATCAGTAATTTCAAGACTAAATGCACCACTATCAAGTGTTATCACTCAAGTTGTGTATTATTAGCCTCCCCCACCCAGCCACTACCAGTCAGGATTTATGTAACTCAAAGTAAGAAAATTTTCAGCAATAATAGTTAGAAAGCATTTCAACAATTAAGCAAAGGACTAGCATTTTCAAAGGTTATCTCCTTACTTTATGGTGCATAATCTAATCAGTAATCGGTGTCAACTAACAAAAGAGTAATGGGCCGACCTGTACAGGTATGTCATATTACACTCCTGGAAAGGTGCAAGGTGCAAGGGCCAAGAAGTTGTACATCTATTCGTTCCTTGTAAGAAAGTTGTGATTTAAATATCTATGACAAAACAAATATCTAATCTGCAATCTGGTCATAGTCCCCGTTTTCTGGAGATTGATGAGCTCCATGACCTGTTTTTCCAGCAATAGACATTTAGTTCCAATATTTCTTGCTGTGTGAGCATGCATGCATATAGCATGTGCAAGGCTCTAACCTGTCAAATCAAAACCAGTTCTATCATCTAGACCAGTCCTCCAATCTGTGGTCCGAGGTGCCATATGCATGCCACGCGGTTGCATCATGAAATGACTTCCTCCAAAACTTTGATGATCATCATTTCCCCCAATTGGATTTCTTCCTGAAGTTTCAAAACCGGAGCTAAAGCCAACATTAGATACTGAAGTCCCACCAGCCGGAGATGGCAACTTGCTGCCAGAGGCATCAGCTTTTGCACCAGCACTAACGTCCTTCTTGTTGTCAATCATAAATGTACCAACAATAACCTGTGGATGGCATAAACTGTTGTGACTTCAACATAAAGTAACTGACAAATAAACCTTCTTAAAGAAAAAAAATCTCCTAACTCTCTTTCTTGTTTGCTCTCATGCAAACATAAATGATAAAATCCCAAGTCATATAGCATATATGGTTTCATTAACCAAAGTTTTCTTTACAGCATTTGTATATTTTAAATAATAATGCACCAAAGCATTTGGCTCAATGGTAGATACAAGTATTCCCCGCTCAAAGAACTGGGTTCCAATTCCCCCTTCCCCAAATCAAATAACAATAATAGTACTAATACCTGAACCGGGCCAGCAGCCTTTAGAGGTCCACCAACTCCTCCTCCAATAATCTGGCCATCTGCACTTGATAGACATACACTGAGCCCACCAGTCCTCCCTCCAATTTCAGTCCGAACATAAGATCCAGAGAGTGAAATGATGTCAAACCGGCCCTAATATCATATCAGCCAGGAAAGAAATTATATTTTGACAGTACCAAAAATAAGTATATTCTAGGCAAATAAGTTGCAAGTGTCATCAAGTACTCTCATAGGCGAGAACATTGGCAATGTGGGAAAGGAAACTAATGGCAAAGATATGAGCCTTTTAGGCATATGGGCATGGCAATGGCATCATAATAACTTGTTTTCAAATCTCATACCTGGAAATATTTACCTGATACTAAAGGTAACATAATACGGATAGCTGTCTCTTTGTTTTTCATAATTGAATGGTCGTGGCATAGCTAAGGTATGTCCCACAATTGAAATGGTAAAGATGCTTAGAATCAGCTGATGTAAACAACAGAATCTAAGCACTTGGCAAATTTATCTTTCCTCCAATTGGAAGAATTATTATGTTATGACCAACCGAACAATACTAGACTAGTGTCCTAAGCAAGCACAGGAATAAGCTTCCGATTGTTCTTGAATATTTAGACCTTTCCTTAAACCCTTTATTTACTTTGTATCAAGTAACAAACTCAGCCATCCTTGTTTTCCTCGAAGACTTTATTTATTTACCAAATTCTCTCCCAGCTCTTAGAACTAATATGAGTTTTTCTAACAAAAATTTATTCATATTTTTATATGTTTTTTTTATTCCTAACAAAATGCAGTTGCAATTTAAACATCACAGAACACATAAACAATGAGTTATCTTGTTGACATAAAATAATAATAACAAAAGGGGAGTGATTACCTCATATGCAATGTTACCGCCTGATGTTGCTGGCTGGCAGAGAGATGCATTAGAGATCGTGCCAGATGCAGACAAAATACATATTTCACGCTTGCTTTGTTGCATGAACATTATTATTTTTTGGCCAACATCCTATTTTGATCAATGTATCACGTCAAGAAGGGCAAGAAAATAACTTGATTTTCATATAGAAACAATACAACATCTTCAGCAAACACTATAAGACTCAAGACTTTTCTAAAAGAAATTCATAATTATTAACACAAAAAACTATTCTCATGACATTGTTTATCAAGCATAAAAGCACTACATTTGATTAGGGATTCTTTGACAAAAGGTGGATGATGATATGTACACCAACCTTCTACTATCTGCAAAAAGATCAAGGAAAAGAAAACAAATATCGCATAATTTAACTTGCCAAAAACTAACAGCTGAGAACAGAATGAAACCACAATAATTGTCTCTTCTCCATTGCATCAGATGAGCGAAGACACCTATAGATGCCTCATGTCCAATAATTCCGCAGAGAGAGAGAGAGAGAGAGAGAGATGAAAGGACTGAATTCCTTTCCCTTCTTTCCACTCTTGTTGAGATTACCAATTATTAAATCCAGTTTAATGAAGGCAAGCTAAATCAAAGGTTAGCATCTTTTCAGAAGTAGAGAATTTTCCCCAGACAGAAATGTAAAAGGACATGCATCCTTTTCTAAAGGGTAAATAAGCAGAAAATTAGTACAAATAGGGGAAACCTAACAGTGTCAATCTATTGCATATGCTAAATGCCTTAACTCCCATCCTTATAAGCACTCTCAAGTCCAAAGAGGAAAATCAAAAAGAAAAAGAAAATCAACTGGAAATATCACAAATATTCTCATGAAACTTTCCACAATGGCTATCATGGCCTCAAATTGTTTGTAACGGAAACATCATAACCTTGAAAAAATATATATAAGGATTTTATATCAGAAACACAAAGTAACTAAAAAACTCTCATTTACAGTTTTTTGTCATTGATGATTTTCCAACTTCTCTTCTTTTAACAATTCTGTCCTCTAATACAGTACTGCTATTCTGATTTTAAAATATATTATTATCTAGAAACAAGGCATAATCAATAGGACATTCTATATAACTGAACCATAACTAAAAACCTTACATTTTGGAAGTGACAAAAAGTCAAACTCTTCAATTTTTCTTTAACAAAACGGAAGCTTTTTGAAACTTCTGGACTATGCAAAAATCACATTTGAAACTACAAGGAAATTGGTATGCATGAATATCTGTTTCCCAAGGACATGTATAACTGATGTGAAATATAAACAAAAGCATCCAACAGTAATGAGCACCATACCTCTCCTGCAACTACATTGATAACATGTGGAGTAAAACCTTGACCTGCATTGCCTGTATCAATTAGAGGAAAGTAAGAGCAAGAATTAAGTATCTAACTGAGAAAGCAAATGATATAGAAGCAATAACTTCACCTACATGAAAACCAGACAGCACGCTGCACGCAACATGAAACATGCATATGAGCAGCAGAAAAAGGGTATTCATACACAAAACAAATAGATGATTCATATATATGATATTCTGAATCAACCAATAATAAGGTGAACTAAAACATATGCATCCACGTATCCTTATCTTAACTGTGTTTGGCTATAAATGAAACAAATAGATGATTCATATACATGTCCAACACACAGCTCAACATTGTTTGGCTAGGATTTTAGTTATGACATCAACGCTACACAGAACCATGTAAATATACCATCTTCAGCTAAAAGCAAACCAGTTGAACTTTGAAAATGAATCAATGCAACCACGTAAGTTGGATTTGCACTTAAAACCACAAAAGCTCTTTGCACACGAACAGAAAAAGGAAAACTAAGGAATGAATTAAGAGAAATTAATAAAGAAATTTAAGATGTTTGCACATAATACAAATAAAGGTTTTACAAGAAGTGCAGCAAAACCATCTTAAATTAAACAATTTTACAACCTAAGCCTCTGAAATCAAAGACGTTCATGAATATAAAAGCTAAAAAAAAAAAAAACTTCACAAATTCCAAAATTTGACAACAAAAGCAGGAATAAATAAATTGGCCAAATGAAATATATGCACAAGACCACATATTCATTGAAGACCTAAAGGTAAACCATAAACTAAATGTTCCATAAAATTTAGAATAAACTACAGAAAACAAAACCATATGAGGGAAGGCGTAATTCAAAACAACCAAACAAAGGCAATGGATCATGACACAGAAGCATCAAAAACCTTCTCAATTTGAAAAAATTTGCAACAAGCTCCCCAAAAATCATCAATTCACAAAAGGATACCAAAAAGTAGGAAACTATTCTTAAAAACACCCACATGGAGCAAACGAAGGCAATACGCAATGCACCCAAATAGAAATCTGCAACAAGATCCCAAAAACCATCAAATTCACGAATAGGGACCAAAATGAAAGAATCTTTTATCAGCAAACCAGAGCAAAAAAAGGCAATAGTTTCACATGCAATGCATCAAACCCTCAAAATTCCAACAAATTTACACCAAAAACCCTCTCAGTTTTCAATAAATTTGCAACAATCCACCAAAACCATCAAATTCACAAAAAATTGTACCCAAAAGTAATCAACTTTTGTCGATAAACACCCACCTAAAGCAACCAACTGAGACTTCTTAGAGGACCCAGAAAGCGAACCACCGCCGCCACCAAGAGCCAACTGCTGTTCTCGCCGTTCCTTGGAGCTCGACGACGCCGTTTTCTTAGCGGCCATGGCCTGTTCCGGGGTGCCATACTTCCTAGGCCTCCCTCTCTTCCTCCTAGCAGGCTCCAAGGGCAACGTCACCGCCGAAGGCACGGAGTGAGGGTACACCATGTGGTGGGACCCTCCAATTTCATTAGGGGGCAGAAGCCCATTGGTCGGTGAAGGAGTGGTGGTGACAGTGGTGGAGGTGTTGGTGGTGAAGTAGTGTCGTTGGGTTTCATTGGGTTCCATCTGTTTTTTTAGGCTTTAGAGAGAGAGAGAAAACAAAAAAAAAAAAACTTTTGCCGATTTTTTTATTTTTTAGTTTATAATTTGTTTTTTGGTTTTGGGTCTTTTTTGAGATTTTTTTAATTTTGAGGTGGTGGAATTTGGGCCGTCGATGAAGGCATGGGAGTTGAGATGGTTGACTTTTGTGTTTGACTGTTGAATAAACCGATTAATCTATTTTATTTTTAGGGTTTTAGGTTTTTTTTTATTTGGGCATTTGCGGACTGACCATGGATAGATTCTGAAATCCGTTTGTTTGTGGGGATAACGTGATTCTCTCCTTCAATTGGACAACTTGACCCCTTTACCCTAAATACCCAAATTCCTCGCGTCTGATTAGATTTATTTTTCGTATACTTATATCGTGATTTATATAGAAATTATATATTTAATTTATATTAATATAAATATATAAAATATATTTTTTATTTTATTAAATTTATATATAAGTAGTATTAAAATTTTAAAATGTATCATTTTATATTTTATTTTTATAATATTCATATTATATTATTGTATTTTATTTTAAATTATAAAATATAAATTTGATTAAATTATTATTATTTTATACATCATTATTATTAAAATTTGGAGATTACTAACAAAATTAAAATATTATCATATACTTTTTATTCAAAATGTTAAGAAAATGGTATATTCCCCGAAAAGTCTTTGTACTATTCTAAAAATGTTAATCGAGCACTTAGTTTCTTATAGACTTCAATTAAGTACCTAATCAATTATTTGGACTAAATTGAATTCTTGTTTTAACGAAAATAGTTTGGTAACTGAAATGCCTATTAACTTGATGCCAGCATGGATTCTTCTCCTTGCCCTTCCTTCCTTCACACTGGTCACTGATCAGTGCCAGTAGCCTGTAGGCACCGGACTTGGCAGTTTGGTGCCGAAGTCAGCCGGAGGCAGATCCGTTCATCGAGTAGGTCTTTCTATAAATGTCCTTATCCCTTTCTCAAGCTCTCATCCAAAATATATCAGAAGAGTTGGAATCAACAAATACTTCACTGACATTAACAAAATTAATGGATACAGAGTCAATAAGTCAATAGACCTCGAACATTAGTAACATATAAAGTGTAATATACCTTGAACAACTGGTTCATATCAACAACAGCCAACATTCTTGTAACAGAACATGTATTCTTCTCAATATGCTTAGACCTCATCCTTGGGTGCCTCTCCATTAATAGTCTCCTTCGTAGATGGCAAAGAGTGCAGATTCTTAAGTTCCTCTAACTGCACACGGACAAACAACTCAGGCAACTTGCAATAAAGAATTGCTTAAACTGATAAAAGAACAGTAAGAAAGCCTGATCATCAGGACAAACTTGTAATGTTTAAACTATAAGCTTCAAGAGTAACAATGCAATGCTAAACATATCAATCAATTTAATTAGTAAAAATTGCTCGACCAGCGGGGATGTTTGTGGGGTGAGATCAATGCCAAAATTGCTTCAAGATACTAATTTCCAAGTATACATGTCTACTACCCTCTTGCTCCCACAAGAGGAGAAGAAATGAAAGGGTGAAAAAGTTTGGTATGATCATGTTCATCATAAATTCAGAATAGAATGACAGTAGCTTCCGGTGAAATTCAAAGTACAGGCACTACAAACAAGGAATTCATGGTGCCAAGACTCAATAGTGAAGACAAAGTGGGAATCTTCTTCCAAAAGGAGGTATGTTATAATAATAATAATAATAATAATAATAATAATAAAGAAGCTTTTAACTTCTAGGATTTCAAACTTGAGTTATTTCTAAGGATATCAGTCAAGGACTCTAGTTTTATAATAGGAACTATTAAAATCATAAATTCTTTTTTTTTTTTTTTTGCCAAAGAAGAAATGCAATAACATTGTACATATTTAGTGCAAAATGCTACCTTACCCAAATAAATCAAACCATACCTCTTTGCAGGTATTCTCATGCTTGCCCAAGAGCTCATTATACTTTGTTTGCAAATCTGATATCTCAGCTTGTAGCTTTTCATATTCAGATGCAGTTGGACCGCCTAATTTTTGTTGGACAAACCTGTCATGCAAAATAAGAATTAAATCTCAACATTCCTTGAAAACAACATAAGTGGACGGGAACTGTAGGCTGCTCAACAGAAAGAAAACAGTGGAGATGATCAACACTTTGTTGTGGCATCAGCTAGAGTCTTGACAAGGTCAGGTATTAGCAAAAAAATCAATAAGCAATGGCACACTCTAACCCCTTTAGATATTTATCAGGAATGGCCCAAAATATAATACAATTTGGCATAAAATAACATTAGAGAAGCTTAGAATTCATTTCAACTTATCCTGAATTGGGGACTAACATTAAACAATAAGAAAAACTGGATATAAGAATAAGATCTTGCAAGAAAAATAAAACCGTGAAATCCCAGATGAAGAAATGGCAATATTGTAAGATCTGATTCACACAAATAAAGTCCAGTGTCCAACTAGGTGATACTGTTTCTGCTAAAAACCTCAAACTAACAACAACTCAGAAATAGGAGATTAGAAATTAAGAGAATACAAAATTGCCATTTCTGGACTACAGATCTGAATATTTTAACTTGAACAAAGAGACAAAATTCAATTGGAAGATTGAATTTTGAAACTTACTCAAGGGCTGAGGATGGCTTCTCATTCTGTTCATACAATGCAACCAAAACTACAGATACAGAAATGGAATAAAAAGAATAAGATACCCACATCAAGAAATGAAGATTCATGTTAAAACAAGAGAAGAGAAAAACCTTTGGTGAGAGCATCAAGAACTCCACTGGACTCAAGATACTTCCTAAATGCTTCTTTCTTAGCTTCCTTTTCCTAAATCCAAAAACTGGGCAGTTAATACTTGTAAGAAAAAGTTTAAGTATTTTATTGCTGACATTTAAATAACAAACAGTACCTCGTTATATCTCATCATTATCTTCAGCAGTTGCCTTTCCTTCTTTGCCTTGAGCCCCTGGTTGTTGGTTTTGGTGGGTGTTCCTTCCAATGGACTGTAATCTGTCGAGAGCATCTAACATTTAAATGTAGTTTAGCAAATGTTAAGGACATGACATGATGGGCCTTTCATGTCTTGTTCAGTTGCCAGTTGCGTTGGACAAGGTTTCGAAGTTTAGTCCAAACTCGAAACCACATGTATCAACCATGGGTGCACTACAGTTTGGACACTTCTAAATTCCAATGCTTTTCAATTAAGATTGTTGGGCTCAGCCCATCTGCATTCTATATTTGTTCCAATGACTGATGCTGGTAACCAAATTTAGAATATATATATGTTTTGCTTAGACGAAGTGATAATGGTAAGTGAGCTTTAAATGCTTAACATATTATGAACAAGGTGTAACTTTCAAAGTTCACGTACCAACCAGTTGTCATTTTGGCTTTCATATTAGCCCACAAGAATTCGTGGAGATGTTGGTCCTTGATGGTTGCATTGTTATAGTTCCAAGTTTCGCATACGATGAGTTTTTACTGCTCGAAAATCAACTTCCTTTCTTCGTACTTGAGAACTTATTTAACATGAGCGGGGCACAAATGCAGAATCTTTCGTTGACATGGCTCTTCGTTTCTTCTCTAGACTAGTTCTGGGGACTGGGCCAGAGATTCTTTGTAGAAAATACAATTCTGTCCAAGCTATCAAGCGTCTAGTAGATTTATTGCTACCAAAATGGAACTAATGGAGGGTGAAATTGAGGCAGAAATATTTCCACAACTCTTGGGATTGGGTTCTTATTTCCATTATTGCTGATATTAGTGGTGTAAATGATATATTAGTACTCGCAAATTATTTAGGTTTGATTCAAAGAAAATTCGAATTCGGTTCGATTATTATCAAGTCGAACTCGAGTAACTCGACTTATCGATCGAGTCGAATTCGAGTATTCTTATATCCAATTCGAGTAGCTCGCGACCCTAATCGAATTTTTATATTTAAATATATTTTTATTATTTTAATTAATAAAATATTTCGAGTTCGAGTTCGAACATGAATAATCGAACTCTTGTCGAGTATACGAATCGAGCTTATTTTTATATATTAATCGAGCTTAATCGAACGAACATGAGTAGCTCGAATTCGATCACGACTTAAGCTTGAGCTTGAAAAATAAAACTTGATCGAGTTCGAGTCGAGTATCGAGCCTCGAATTATGAGTCGAGCTCGAGCTCAAGCTTCTTACTATTCGACTCGACTCGGCTCGATTACACTTCTAGCTGCCACTATCCTTCTCCTACTTGGCTTGTAACATACTATAATTTCTGTTTTTGCTTTTTCAAACAAGTGCAGATTAATTGTTCTTCATGCACTGATGCTTTTATATTGGATATTTTACTTTAGAATCAAACGACTTACTTGTCGAAGAAAAGGAATCGAATTAATTTTATCTTATAATATGAACAAAAGTAAGCAAATACATTTTAGAGAAACATCCACGTGTTAGTAAGTCTAATGAGAGAGATCACAGAAACAACCACGTTGAAAACACCAAGAAAGGAAGCATGGCTACCAAGCCGTAGTTCACTATAGAATCGACATTTTCAGCCTTTTGCAACTTGGTTTACAAAGTACTCCATGGACATTTAGAAGAACCCTGTTGACCCTGCAACTGTTGTGTGTGTTCCTATTGTAAGCCACAGTTAGACATAAATCAAAGCAAATAGACAACTCAAAAAGGAAACATAAAAAACAAATCACCTCTGCGTTTATGTTGCGAATCTCATCCCGGTCAATTATATTTATCAAACTTTCTTCTCTCCTCGTGGTGAACTGACTGATCCAAAGACTTTTGGGCTTCAAACCTGTCAGAATTTTTCCTTGAAAGGGCTTTGTAGGCTGCATCAATATGTATTGTTTCCATGACTGAACCGAAGAAGTTTGTAACAGGTACCTAGAGATCGAGAGAGATTACAGGATGCTTCAATCAATGTTAGATATAACAAATAGTAGTTCATCATAATAAGGAGAACTAAGAAATTTCAATTATTCTAAACAGTACTAACAATAATACAGGCAGTGAAAGCTGTGGATTTGAAAAGGGGAAGTTGACTATTTTGCACACCGCTCTCAGAATGCAACACTTGATTCATCAAAAAGAGCATATAGCTGACAATGAGAAGCTAGTTTCCAGCTACAGGCACTTTAAGCCCTAAAGCCTCCTCACCAGAATATTAGAGAAGCACAAACTAAAAGCCTCAAAACATATAGAGCAAGAAGATTAACATTAAAATCAAATTTGGGACCTTCATAACTCCTACAAACGCCGTTGATATAGATCTCCACGGTAATATGCAGTTGACATCAACATACTTGGATTGTAAGAACTAAAAAGACTGCAAAATTAATCACAAAAGTCAAAGGAGCAGAGCTTAGTTTTAAGAGAGAAAATGCTTTAAGGAAGTGGCATAAATGTCAAAAAGAAAAGCCAATTTAAATGGATGCAGGGCAAAAACTTTAACTGACAAAAGAACACTATAATCTGAGAGGGTTTTGTATGCCAAATAAATAAATAAAAAACAATGGACAAGGAAAGCTCATTGAGGCTTCAAAGAAATTTCTATGCAAACAAAAAAATAGCCATCTTGTTATCGTAAATTCTATGCTAATGTACCTGCCCAATGAGGCATTGTCATATATATTTGGCCTCTCGAAAAAGGCAAGGGTATAATAGGTGAAACGATCAACAACTGATACACCAACCTGTATGAATGAACAATTGAATAAGAATGAGAACAAGTGTCTTCATGGTACATTTAACCTATAATACTACCAAAATCCTGATACCACTTGGGTAATAAATACATACATGCATGGCACAAGTGGTTTCTTGGCAAATGCTATTTAAAGGGTGCTAAACTGCTAAAAAATGATAAAAACAATTTCCTGTCATCACTTACATCAGAATCCAAGTGATGTGAGTACGAGTTCTCTCCTTTCATGCTACTACCAATAGCCAAAACACCAGGGGATTGAAGCTGCAAATATAGAGAGCAAAGATCTTCCATGCAGTATCGGATCAGTTATCAGGATAAATCACATTTTGAATGCCTAAAAACATAGTTAGAAGTTTCAGAATGTCACATCTGTAAGCGAACAAAAACAGTCTAGAATTGCACCAAAACAAGAACATCAGAGACCAGATGAAACAGGCAAATGACCACAAGGCAAAAGTTCTAATAGGTTGGGCATAATGCCCACAAAAGTTTCAAAAGATGTATTAGCATTGTAAATGTACATGAAGAAATTGATCATGAAGGGGGGCTAAATGTGATTCCATGGAGTAAAATGACAATAATGAATCCACACCAATAACATAGCAATAGTGCAATGAATCTATTTGAAGTTCCTTAGAAGAAAATTGAATCTTTTGACTATTATACTCATTTTCCCCATAAATAAATGATTAAAGAGTAATACTCCTATAAAAAAAAATGCATAAATTTAAGGGTAAAAATTTGAAGCAGATAAAAACCTGATTGAAGAGAGTGACTGCTTGACAAGTGTCCACCACTAGCAGCAATTCCTTAAATCTGAATTTGCAGCATTATCAACAGCAGACAAGTCCATTTTTACATAGCAATCATAACTATAGACATCAGCAAGGTAGGAAAAACATGAAACAAGTTTCCTAATTACAAGAACTACAAAAAGATAGTTCTCACAGGAAAAGGCAAATTATAGTACTTACCTACCCTCCATTTAAACATTCAAGTTAAGTGTTAATCTGCTACAGAGTTCCAAGGAAACTTGGGAGAATTACATCTCCCCACAACCTCCAAAAGCGATACAACTTCCAATTATATAGCTTCATTCCAAAACAAGTCAAAGGCTGCAGTTATAAGAGTAAAATATTCTCACTGATGCTTTCATCTGTTTCACAAAATCAGCTAAATCATGACTCTGTAGTTCCTCTGAATCTTGAAACTTTAAAAATTCATCTCCCCCATGCCCTGTCATGTATAGAAGAATGTGGCTTCCCTCATCACTCAAAAGACGCTTTGATCTTGGAACAGCAGTCTCATGACGTCCAGTTAAAACACGCAAAAAATTTTCCACAGTTACCTCATAACCTCGATCATCTACCTGAGTGATTGCAGTTTGGGCACATTAGGGTTGGTCAAATGAACACACCAACAAAAAACCCCTTGAAACACAATTTACTGCAAGCAACAATATGCAACTAATGGAACACCGAAGATAATCAAACTTGGGTACCATAGTTCATGGTCCATAATTGCTATGTAAACAAATGTAAAATAGGGAGCTCAATCTCCTCATTCAGATTAATATTAAAAAAAAAAAGATTTTAGATGAGATGTTTCACTTAATATAATATTGCAATTAGGGTATACCATACCATTAGCCCCCACCGACCCACCCTCACCCTCCCCCCAAAAAAAGAGAGCCAAATACGTCAGTGGTCACAGAAACCTAACCTCAACATTGTCTCCATAAAGGTTAAGTCTATGGTTCTCATTGTTGAAAACTTGAGCAGGGTACTTGTTTCTAGTGTTGCAAGCCATGTCATCTGCAAGCATGAGCATTATCCTCTCATCAGGTATTCCTAGCCGCTTAACTGTCCTGAAAATCCAGGTTAAGGAAAAAACAACTGGAAATTTTGAAATTATAGAAGAAGAAAAACCAAAATAAGGCAGCTGCTTGGTTACCTATACAATGATAAGGTGTTGGCCATATGTCGATAATTAAACCTGCATGAGAAAAGTTGCAAAATTCAATCAATTGGCAATGTTACAAAATTTCAAGACTTTACATTGTGCAGCGGACATACTTGAGTTGGGCACCAAATAATAACAACATTAGCTCATTTTATATTTTGGCAGACAAAACACAATGACAAAGGGGGTAGTTAAAAATAGCATTGTGTGACCTCATCCAACTAGGCCTCTCTGTTAGATAACTAAAGAATGGTAAGTCACAGTAACTAAAGAGATAGCATATGTCTCATATAAACATCTGCAAAAGTTTTTGCTGCAGAACATCCACAGCTTTGCCGCAGAACATCCAAAGCTCAAAAAAGAAAGAAATTTACGTCCAAGCACCAGCATTACCACGTTTGGAACTTGCATTTGCATTTCTAAGGCATTAGTTTAACATTTCGATTATATTGATGAACCAAAAGTAAAAGAATGCATTAGATGAAATCTTCATCATTCCTCGAACAGGTTTCAAATCATCAAAGGATAATACCTCCCCAGGACAAACAAAGAATAAAGCTAATACCTGCGAGCTTCTAATTAAGAACATTGGAAAGCTGATAGTCAGTTGATTCATCATTACCATCTTGTGAGAGACGTCAAAAGAATTAAGCAGACAAACTAAGCTAATACAAAAGAAAAAGCAGTTTCTCTATGAGTCAAAGAGAGGCAGAATCTCATTATATCACACTTCTCAATGACATTATAGAACTAAAAGCACTTAGCTCAAATAATGAAATGAAAAAAAAAATCAAATCAGCATCTGAAAAAACTCCTGTCTCTCTCTCAAATTCAGAATAATGTGAAACAAATGTAGCTAGAAATAAAATCAAACCAAGAAAAATTAATTAAAAAAAAGATGGGTTATCTTAACTATCTCGAAAAACAACATGGGTACGATTCATTTGATCCTAAAACTCAATTAAGAAAACAAATCAGGGAAATATAGAAAAAAACACAAGTGGGAAAAATAAGATTTCTGTCTCATTTATTACCAGAAACGAGAGGTACAAACTAAGATAGCCCAGTTGTTAGCATGCACAGTGGCTTCGACGGAAGAAGAATTGTATGCTATCGAACTGTAGAGAAGCAAAATTGGTAATGACAATAACTGGGAAAGAGCTCTGGTATTGATGAAAATTGCCATCTTGAATTCCTGGCGATTTGCTCTCAAAGTTTTTCTTTTCCAATTCACTCACTAATCAAAAACACAAATCAGAACTCTAATTTCACGAGTCCAGTCTGAAGCAAGGCTTGGAGCAGCAGCGGTAGAGAAGAAAACCCAAACGACGCCGTTGCTAGTTTGAGTAAGACTTAAGCTTTCTGGACATCGTTTTGTCTAGGGTCATTTTATTTTTTGATTTTTTGATTTTTTTATTAAATCCAGCATATTTTTTGCTCGCAAAACGACATGTCGTTTTTGACATCCCATGAACCTTTCTCGGTGTCCAATTTAACCTTTTTATGTCAAAAATGAAAATTCTTCCTCAAATTCTTTCCTTATTATCTTGAGGAAGCTCTCTCTCACACAGTTTCTCTCTCGGAACCTCTTCTTAATCAAGCCATTTCAGGTACTCTCTCTTAAACCAAAAAAATAAACAAAAAAAAAATATTTTTGTTGCTTTTTTTTTGTTAAATTATGCACTTTTTTGGGTTGTTAATCTCATATGGACATCTGGGTAGTTTTAGTTTAAGCATTTGATGTTCTGTCTAGAGTTTTTAAGACAACCCCATTTTGTTGCCTCTTGAAACTGCCTTCTTTTTTAATCTCATTCTGGTAAAAGAGTTGATCTTTTCGAATATTTTCATAGTTGTTTCATGAATATGTGATGAATGCTAGTAGTTAGATCATGGATGGCCAAGGTCTATATAACTCTAGACTGAGATGATACCTGTTTTTAAGCTAATTTCTTGTTTTCGCGGTGTCAATGAAGGAATACGCGAAAGCTCCTTACAAGAATATGTCATTGCCTTTTCAGATAATAATCTTATAACTATAGAAGTTACAAATATGGAAAGAAAATTTTAATCTTATTGTAGATTGATCGTTTAAGAAAATGCTTCATTGATATGTCTAACCTTTTTATGACTTCTTGGTTGGGAAATTCATTGCCACCTTCTTGCCGTGAGTAGCTCTTAGGCTGGTGTCTCTTTCTTTTCATTGGAAGTGAAAAGTTTGCAGGGTTTATTGTCAGGGTAGTTAGGTTAGTTTCAATTTAGTAGCCTGTCTTTTTGAATAATCATAGTGATGCAACTTGAACAGACGATTGATTTGATACTCTACATACATCTTGAAGGATTTGCTTATCTACATGAAGAGTAGAAGGATGAGACATGAGAATGTTCTTCATACTGCATTGAGTTGCGATGACATCCTCTGCAATATCCTTCTCCGATTACCACCTGAATCTATTTCCAAGCTTATTATTGTATCAAAGAGGTGGCTTCACTTGATATGCAGCTCTTCTTTTCGTCACAGTTATTTGAGTCGATGGAGAGTAGGTTTTAACCTATTAGGATTTTTTGTGTGCAATTCCTTGTACCTTGGAAGACCTCAAGGCGGTGCTCGTCGCCCCCGTTCAGAACCTGCTCTTCCGTTGCTGTCTACTAGTAGAGAGGGTGATGATATGAAGTTTTCTGGGATCCTTAAACAGCTTGGCTACTTCATTGACTCTTCCAGTGGCCTTCTTCTTTGTGGTCGCCACCCAAAGGCCTATTATGTATGGGATCCTGTCACCAAACAACCACATAAACTACCTCGTCCGCGGGTTTATTTTGAGGAATTGTGCATGGCATTCCTTGTTGAAGACTCTCCTGATGATGATATTTGCTATAGGGTTGTTCGTGCAAAATGTGAAAGCAGATTTGATGAAATCAACATTGTTACCATTGAAACTTTCTCGTCAAAGACCAGTACATGGAGTTTTTCCAAGCTTACATGTTCTTCACCTGTATCTCTATCACCTTGGACTTCAGGTACTGTGATTGGAGGTGTCATCCACTGGTATGCAGCCCAGGGTAATGTAGTTATTTATGACCCAGATCATCTAGAAAAGCGTATTGCTTTGGTTAAACTCCCAGGCACATTTGATTTTGATGAGCAAGTTCTTGGGGAGTCTTCAGATGGCTGTCTTCAGTATGGTTGGAGCTGTAAATCAGGCCTGCAAATATGGGTTCTTGAAAAAGATTTAGATGGTTATACATCCTTATTCTCAAGTAACAAACAGTCAAATGTTAATTGGAGCTTGAGATATAAGTTGAATTTCAAAATAATGTGGAAGAAGAATCCAACAGTCGCAACAAAATGTAGTACACGGTCCAAAGAAACTGAAATATTGTCATTTGCTCCACAAAATTCTGAATCAGTCTTCATTAGATCTGGATCAAACATATTTCTTTATCACTTTGAGAGTGAAAGGGTGGAACTGATTCAGTACCAAGGTCGTGGATCTACCATCTTATGGGATTTTTCTAAAGTAGTGCCCTACTATAAACGAGCTTGGCCCCATTCTGCTTTGTGTGGCAGTGGAAACAGCGCAGCATGAATGTGTACCGTCTGCTATATCTGTGGAAGTTTGTAACTGTTCTTTAGGTACTACTTTGCAGGCACCTGTGTTTTCTTTAGCTAACCTATGGGTTCAAATGTGATGTGTAGTTGGATTATAACAGTATAGTGCTATTTGTTTTTACTGTTCATGTCATTTATTTTGATCAATAATGTGCCAGTGTTTAACCTTTGATTTATACCTGGAAGATGACTATGCATCATACCATGAGTTCTCGATGGACTGTAATGGTATATGGCATTTATTCAAATTCCTGCATTAATTACTAGTGATACAGTATTCATGGAAAATAATAAATTGAAGAAATGTTCAGAGAAACTGAGAATTAGGTTGGATTGGAAACACTGCAAAATTTGGAAATAGTTATGTGCTTCAATTACTTTCCATTGATAAAAGATGAACTAATTGTACAACATAAGGGAAAATTTTGACTGCTATGCTAAGTAGGGAACAAAGATGTTCCTCTTTGAATCAATGACCTATATGTGGAAAAAATTTTGGACAAATATTTCTAATGTAAAGCAAGATAAATGAACACCAACAGGATATGCAGAATTAGCAAGGTTGGAAGCTGAATCTACATCTTGGAAGGAGAGAGAGAGAATGACATAGAGAACCAATCCGTTGCAGGAATCATATTCGGTTAATCAGATCGTGGCAACAAGAAACTAAAGCCTGAGTTCTCACGAATCAGTGGTGGTGGTTCAATGTCAGCAATGTCTATTTGTTCCATGGACTTTGATAGGTCATCAACTGAAAATGGAATACTGCAAAATGACAAACGTGTTGAGAAGTCAGCGTAAGAACATAGTTTGATTATTCCAGGTAATGTTTTCAATTAGCGTTCAGAGAAATAAGGACAATTGCAAAACATAGATTTTCAAATTAATCATCACACAGTGCAATGTAACTGCAAACCTTGAATCATCATCCAGCAAGAAGGAATTGCTAACTGCATTGTTGGAATCTTCTGTCATCAACACTCTCATATTGGCTATTACCTAGATGTTGTTAAACGAGCAAACTCATTAAAGTTACTAGTGGATGTCTCTAATCTAGTTTGAGAAACTGCATCTCTTGAAACTTACATCTGGGGACACACTATGCGTGCCATACTTGTCATCCCAATACATTGTACTGATACGATACAGCTGCTGTATACTGAGGACCTGCAAATAAAAAATGAAGCTTTTTGAGACTTGAGATTCAAGGAAGAGTTGCAAAGTAGAGATAATTGCATCTCATGTTATGTGACATTTGCATTACTCACCGGACAGAGATCGTGGCTTATTTCATCCAGTGTTTTCTTAGGCTTTTGATGTATTACCTAAATCAGAAACAGCGTACCATTGATATTAGTTTACCACTCTCTTTTATTCCCGATTATCATAACAAGTAATGGAAGGACAGGTAGACTGTTAGAAGAGTGGGAACATACTAGAAAACCAATGGCCTGCCTTATATGTTTGAGCTCATCCCAAGCTGAACCTGCATACTGCATTTATATATCAGTTAAATTTTGTAAGTACATATCCTAGAATCAGAAAGTAAACTGGGGAGGCAGTCAAAGGTACCTCATCGGTTGCCTTGTAACACCAATGTTCCAATTCAGCCAATCCAGCTTTAACATATTCACCATTACTAAACGAACAGCACTCTCTCCTCAACAGAAGGCTGAAGTAGAAAAGTGTGTATTCAAATGCCATGAAAAATTTTCTGCATACAGCAGAAAAAATAAGTATAAAAGCACTAAAATAGCAGCATTGACTGTTACCTGTTGAATAGTTGAACATTGATGAATGAGAATATTTGTGTGAACACCTTACGGACCAAGAATGGCGGTACCTGTAAAGGAATCAAACAGCATTAATCCTTAGGGAAAACGCATTCAAACTAGAAAATGGTAGAGATTTTACTCTTTGCCCTCCTTCCTAACTTATTAAACCAAGCATGAAGACTCGGCAGAAGTAAGTTTACTTTGGAATGTGAGAGTAGGACTTAAGCCGAAAACACTGAAACTATAGATATGAACAAAAGGGGACAAGTGGGCTGTGTAACTAACATAATTTGCTTTCAATGTGTTCAAGAAGTTTCCAAGGCTCTTTACAATCCCTTGCCAGTGAGCAATCAAAGCCTGCTGGGCTGCAGTGCTAGTAACTGATCGTGATGCTCCCTTGACTAAACTTGCTCTGGATGTTCTCGGTGCCTATATCATTTTATCCATATAAGAGTCATAAAATTAGCTTAATAAAGAAAAATATAAGACAAAAACTCCACAGTTCCTTTTCATAGTTCTAGTTTTTTTTTTTTTCTTCTGGTTAATGTCTTCGCTTAGTCTGAGATATAATACCTGGATGCACAATCCAAGCAATGGTGAAATTTCTTTCTTCAGATTATCTCTGATCATTCCATATATCTTCTCCACATATGCTGTAAGCTGCTGCTTGAAAAGCAAAGCCGGGTACTTGGCTTCAACTTGCCGTAAAGTCTCCACTCCACTATTGATGCCACCATTAATCAAGGAGAGGTTGACACCTTGTGGAGCTCCACGGAAACTCTTTAAGAAAATAACAGAAACACATGGATTAATTACAGAAATGATATTTCCTTAATGGCATGACTTGACATCAGTGAGAAAGTTTTTACTTGGGTCATTCTCCCAAACAAAGTAGCTGATGATGATCGACGCCGTTGTGGAGTCATTCCAGCGGCACCACTAGCTTTCAATGTGCGCTGGAGTAGCAAGAGAAGTGTGGAGGCATTGGATAACCAATAGGCCAAGATATCATTGTTATCCTGGGTCTGAAACTCAAATGCCAATAATCAGTTTAACAATATGAGGTTTCTTATAAGAACTTTTAGAAAACATTAATGTGTGAAGTTTGATTTTTCAACCTCAATAGCATGGCCTATGGTCTGAATGATCCGATCAAAGACACTAGTTCGCTCAACTTCAAATGATCTCCACTGCAAAAGGCATTTATATATGATACAGGCTGCAATAGGTCGGTTCCCTGCAAAGCCTAAATGTTGTGCAACACATCGAATAAGTAACTCCTGGTTTTCCTGCTGTTTCTCATTTAGTGATTTTTGTGGCTTGCCCTCCACTTCAGTAGTGTCCCTATGGTTTATTGAGGCGCTGTGAAGATCCTGTTAAAATACATTGATCAACAAAAGAATTTAGACAACAAAGAAAACCTGAGGCTCTTTTATTAATTTATTTTTTTACTCCTTTTCATGGTGATAATAGTATAAAGTTATAAGCACTTTACTCACCATGGTTGCCCTTGCTTCTAGATGACCACTCTCAGAACCTCTCTGCCAATCATTAGAGAGCAGGTAAATCTCCTCGATCGTATGAGACAATAAAAATTAAATTGCAAATTATACAGAAGCTTATAACTCAAAATACCTGCAAAATTGATCTCGACCGTCCTGAAAGGAACTTATTGGGAGCCATGGATACAGCCTGTTGCCGTAGTACTTGATTCTCGGATTCTAGATTAGTGAGCTTCTCTTCTAACCTGATTTCAATTAACCACATCCGGAAGAGTTAATGTGGTGATATGGATGTAAGCAAGAACTTCAACAAACTCATGCATTATACGTTCTTGACGTAAAACATGACCATTTATAGTAAAATAGTAAGGCAAATTATTCTTTATACACTACCCTCTCAATGATTCCTGGAGTTGCTGAACTTTTTTTTCTGCATCTTCCAGTTTTTTTCGTCTTTCTTCACTTGACTCTTGGAGTTCATTGTATTTTCCTTCTGCATCATTAGCTCTTTGTTTTTCTGAGTCCAATGAGGCCTGTAGGAAATAACAGCAAGGTTAAGATCACAAGCTAATCATGACAATTGCCAACATATACAAAGATGATATATAAGAACCATTCTGAACCTTGGTTAGTACTAATATATTTGTGATTGGCTAGTAGATGATTTGCAAATTTAAGGGGTTCTATCCATCCTGGATTTTCTTTTGTACCTTTAGGCTCTCCACTTCTGCTGTTAGAGATTCAACTTTCTTTGTATCTTCAACTAAAATTTCTTTCTCTTGAATAACAGGAGGCGCTTCTTCAATGGCTTTCTTTGCAGCCTCTTGCTCTTTAGCAAGCAATGCATTGGTTTCATCAATAGTTTTCTGCATTTCTTGCAATGAGTTTTGCAGTTTTGCTATCTCCTGAGCTTTTGCCTCTTCCAAGTCAGTCTACAGACATGGTTTCAAGGCTATCCATGAACATATATCCATAAAGCAGCATAGAATAAAATATAATCTATTCAGATGTCAAAAGACTTCAAACAAATATAATTCAAGAATGTTGACATTGATCATGTTATAAGACACATTATTGATTGTTATTACACAGGTGTGTGCATTGGCAAAATGCTTTTGTACAGTGTAAGACAATTTGTCTACTTCCAATAGAACAATCATGTTTCATGCTTTATAAGTTCTCCACCAAATATTATCTATCTGCAGAATAAAAGTATTACCCTTAAACGTTTCTCCAGCTGCAAACGCCATGTAAGTTCCTCTACATTCTTTTCAAGCTTATCCTTTGCTTCTTTTAGTGCACCTGTTTCCCTTGCAGCCTACATAAAAAAGGAAAAATGGGAAGCATAAATAGAAAGAAATAAAAATTTTGTTGGAAGAAACACCAAGCGTGATGTATCTTTTTATACCAATAACTCCAAGGCCTATTAGATTATTGAGTTAAATCCTGGTAACCGCATTGAGCAAAACACAGATCTCAGAAGTGAAGGTTTTGGCTGAACCTAGATACACAAAGTGCTGAAGAAAACATTGACACACACCTTACAAATAAATGCTTCAAAATGAACTACTATTTTTCTTTTGGAATCCAGGATGTTGATAAAGTGCAAATGTTGTGACCGAATAGATTGTTAAATAAAAGAAGCCATGTTAGTTATCAGAGCATTCAAATGCTTTAAAACCTAGGTTTGCACAGTTTTCTATTTCAAGTAAGGTGCTCAGACTCTCAAAGAACTAAATTACATTGAAACTAATTGTTTTACCAGGACATTTATCAAATGATGTATAAAGGCCTAGAATTGGCCAGTCACAAGTATCTTGTCTGTACATAATATCAATTAAACTTAAATACTCAGGGATTGAAGTTTGCTCATCCTCTCAGACCAATTGCAGGCAAAGAAAGTGAAGGCCTTGATGTTACTTCTAACAACATTTCAGTGTAGCAATATGCGACATCAATTTATGGATATGGTGCAGTACACCAAAAGATTAAAACCTGCCAGATAAATTTTATAAGACTATAAAAGGAAGATTATCCAACACACACCATTTTGAGCTTTCTAAGCTCTTTTTTGGCAACTCTTCCTCTCCACCTGGTTTGCGTCACTATACAACCTCTCTTGAGCTTCTTGTAATAGGTGGCTGCTCTACAACAGCGCCATCGTGCCTGCAATTTTTTTTCCAAATTTAAACAAGGACTATTCTCAAATGGTTAGACAAG